TTTGCCTTTGCTGAATCCAGCTTGTTCTGGTCGGAGTTCTGTATCCAGTGCGTCCTTGATTCTCTTCAGGATGATGCGACTCAGGATTTTACTTGGCGTTGACTGGAGCATGATTCCTCGCCAGTTCTTGCAGAGTCCCAGGTCGCCCTTCTTTGGTAGTTTCACGAGGTAACCTTTCCTCCAGTCAGTAGGCACCTTTCCCTCTTTCCAGATCTTTTGCAATAATGGAGTCAGCATATCTGCCGTCGTTTCTGGGTCCGCTTTCAGTGCTTCCGGGGGTATTCCATCTGGTCCAGCTGCTTTTCCAGCTTTCAGAAGCTTGACTGCATTCAAGACTTCAGTTTTCGTTGGAGGATTGGTGTCAACTTGCAGTTGTGTACTTGCTGTTGTTGGTATTTCTGGACGAGTTGAGGTGGTGGTCGGTTCAAGAGTTCTTTGAAGTGGTACGCCCATTGTTTAATCTGTCTTTCTTCTTTGGTAATTGGGTTCCCTTGGCTGTCTTTTATAGGTTTCACTTGTGTTGATCTCTTCCCGGATAGAGACTTGGTTATCTGATATAGTGTCCTCAGGTCCCTTTTGCCTGCTGCCTTCTCAGCTTCAGTGGCCAGATTCTCGTAGTATTGTCTTTTGTCCTTCCTGGCACTCTTCTTCACTTCTTTGTCCAGTGCTGTGTAGGTTGAGCTCAGCGTCTCTTTCTCTTCTCCATCTTTGCATTGAATCATTTTCTCTTTCACCATTCTCCTCTCCTCTATTAGCTTCCAAGTATCCGTTGAGAGCCATTCCTTGTCTTGTTTCTTCTTTCTTCCTAAAACCGTTGAACACGTTTCGTTGAAAATTACCTTCAGAGAGTTCCAATGGTCTTCCACGGATGATTCCTCAGTGGTGCCACGTAGTGTTTCCTGCTTTGCTCTGACAGTTGCAGTGAAAGTATCCTTTGTGGTTGTGTCCTTCAGTTTTTGAGTGTTGAACTTGCATTGTGGCCTATCCCCAGCTATCCTCGAGGCTTTCAGCTTCACCTTGAAAGTCCCTTGTACTAGATAGTGGTCTGAACCCACATGTACTCCTCTCCTCGATCTTGTGTCCAGTAGGCTCCGTCTCCACTTCCTTGAGATTGAAATGAAGTCTATCTGGTTCTTGGTGTGTCCATCTGGTGAAATCCATGTTGCCTTGTGTATATCCCTGTGTTTGAACACACTACCACCAATCACCAAATCATTGAAGGCGCAGAAGTCTGAGAAGAGTTCACCATTTTCGTCCATTTCACCAAGGGCCTCACGACCCATGGTGAGTTCTCTTCCTGTATTGTCTCCTTCCAGTTTTGCATTCATGTCACCCATCAGGATTTTGATATCGCTCTTTGAGACGTTGTCCATTACTGTTTGTAGTTGAGTGTAGAAATCCTACTTCTTCTCTTGTTCTGAGGCGTTTGTAGGCTCGTAGCATTGAATGATTGTAATCTTTTTTCCTTTTGAGTTGAACCTGGCTGTCATTATCCTGGAGGAGATTGGTTCCCACTGCATGAGAGCTTTAGCCGCTGTTGGTGACATCATGATGGCTACTCCCTCGGTGTGCTCGTGATCGTCCTCTGGGTGACCGGAGTAGATTATTGTCTCTCCAGTTGGTAGTTGGCTCCTTCCACATCTGTTCCATCTGCTCTCGCAGATTCCCAACACTTCTATTTTATATCTCCTCATTTCTGCGGCTACCTGAGCAGCCTTTCCAGTTTCGTACATTGTACGAATATTCCACGTCCCCACCCTTATTTTTGCTTTCATCGAAAGAAGGCACATCGGCTGACTGGCTTCCCGAAGGCTTTCACCAGCCTACGTCATTTCACTTCCCCGATTCCAGCGAAAAATAAGGTTATTGTTTGTATTTTTAGAATTTTTAATATATTTGTGCGTTGAAGTTTTAGTAGCAATTTGGTTAAGTTTTGGGGGTGGAGTTGCTAGCACCACGCCCCAACCCTCCCTCTTTATCCGGGCTTGGGACCGGCTAGAATACTAGTGACCTAGTAATCTAGGCGAGGTTACAATTTATTACTGCTCATAATCATATCAAGGCACTCACTCATAACTTTTCTGCTACATTTATATACATGAGTGGAGCTGATTAGACATTTGAATAAAATCATCAACCTAAGATAAAGTACATTAGGAAATAATATTAGTGTTATCAATAAAATACAGTAAGATGGGAAATGAGATGTCTTTTATGGTAAGATAAATAAATAACTTGTTAGAATGTAAATTGAAATACATTTTAACATTACTTACTATTCTCCGATCTGATTGATGATAATATCTTCCATGTTTTTGGCATTTGCGTTGAGTCACTTCTGTTGCATGTGTTGGGTGTAGATTCGATGAACCATGATTCAGTAATCATTCTCTCTCTCAACCTACCTATGCTACTTTTTAGAATTGTGACTCTGTCCAACCCTATTGTGTGGTTGTGTGCTAATTCATGCATTGCGACTGCTCAGTTATTTTTTCTAAGTTACTAATCTTCGTGTCGTCAATCATTCCAACCTTAGCTAAATTCTTATGTTCTGAATATCTGACTACTCCTGATCCACTAGTTTGACCTGTGTAGTTGGCTTAACTCACAGTCTAAAGAGTTTATCTCTGAGTGAGTTTGTAGGTTTGAATGCCACCTTAATTCCTGCTTTATTGAGAATCCTACGTATGAAGGGTCTCAGATATCCCCTCCTTATATGGTAAAACTGTAGATGCCCTATGTTCTTTCTTATTTATGTTATCATTTTTAGTTTCCTCATTATTTTGATTTCGCTTCTGACCTGTTTTGATATTTCCAATGCATTCTATGGGTTAGTTATTTAGCACCAACACCTCTTCTATCTGTTTCATTTCATCGTATAGGTTTTTTGTTGTACTGCTTAGTGCTATTGCTCGGTTTATTTCGTCACATTTCGTCTATCACTTCGTTTTTATTCAAAATTTCATTCATATATCGCTTGACAAGTTCTGTGTACTTTTGTTTGTGCCGATTTTAGTACGTATTTTGCAGTTTGGATACTGATGTCATTTCATCAATACGTTATTCCAAACGATTCACTTCTGTTCTATTGATTTAATCCACTTTGTGTTTACTCTCAGCTTCAAAACGTTTTCTAACATAGTTGATCAGTCAGGGGCATTGCGAATCTAGATAATGCGTGAATGCATAACACCACATTACGTTACTTTATTTTACCAATAAAATAATTTGTATTCTCAATAACAAAACGGTTAAAAGTTTAACATTTCCTTATGAAAAACACTCACTGGATAAAACTAATCAGTAATGGTTGAATGGTAGGATGCCTGGCTGCCATGCATGAGGTCCAGATTCAATTCCCGGCCAATGCACCTCTAAACCTCTGCTATGCGGTAGTGTGCCTAGAAAGGAGGGAAGGTTGGGCGTGAGGCTTAAAAACAACACCATCGTTACTGGAATCTCAGAGCTCGAGACCGAATGTTTAACTTTAAACGCTAGGGAATGAATAAAAGAAGATCTTTTCCATTGGAAGATCAAATACAACAAGCACTACATCAAGAATAAGAAAAAGTTGAATATCTTTTAAATCGAGTAGGAATTATCTTGACCTAGAAGAAGGAACTATGATGTTAAGAGGTGGAGTAAATTTTTAAAAAAAGCTTGACTTAATCAGTGTACTTGCGCATAGTTTCAAATAAGTTAACTTCATCTGATTTCTGTTCATAATACATTAAAATTTAGACTTTAAATGTTCTACAGTGGAATTTAGGATAATACTCTATCTCAGAGCAGATATTTTCTGTTTAAATTTCAACCCGATTCTAGTTGGCTTAAGATTCTTACATAGGATTTTGAGTTTCATATTGTTAGGTGTTAACAACATGAAATATTCCACTTTTTCTCTGCATTTAAGTTACATGGCTAGTTTACAAATTAATCAATGCCTTTTCTACTCACAGAAATCCCCGAAGATATCCTAGGGGAAAATTAATGACTGAAGGTCTACTTTTGTCTACTTATTTCTAGCTACTTTTGTTCATTCAACTTTCTTATGAAGATGTGGATCGGAACGCTGATGTAACGTAAAATTAGCAAAGGTCTGATTAGGTTTTCCTAGTGTGTTGATTTTCACTAAATGCTAGAACCTTCCCTCTCAGCTTGTTCACTTAACTGACATCTAAAACTTGTAGGAGAAATTACTTCATGAATTCCTGGATTCTGTTAAAGAAGTCATACATGGATGAAGATCATAGAACTATTGAATCTAAGGGTTTAAAGTTTAAATATGAATGTCTAATGTATACTGATGGGTATTTCCCACGATCTGTACCAAATAAACACAATATAATAATGAATTACACAGCTGTGATCTCATATTTCTTTCGTATTCCTTATACGAATTTCATACAAACTTCAATTTCGATATTTTTGATACCAAAAGCCACGTATGATACGTAATGATATATGGGCATCACTTGCTTATTTTCTCCAAGAAGGTTGACAGATTTAACATTTACAAAATCTGTCATGTATTATTACTTCAGGATGAAATGTGTTTTGTTTTCATATCATTCACTGAAGCGTAAATACTTTTTCTAGTATTCATTTCACAGTTTTCATTGACTCATTTAGATTTAGTCGGTGGCATAGCGGTTAGGACGCTCGCCGACGATGAACATGGTCCGAGGTTTGATCCCCGGCCCGCGCACTCCTTCACCTCACTAAGCCAGAACTAAAGCTGGTGAAGAGGAAAGGTTGGGCATGTGACTAGCAACCTCATCCTGTAAAATAAAAACTGCTACAGAAACTTCAAGCTAGAGGCTTGAAGCCCTATGTTCCACTGGGAACGTGAAGGAATAAAAAAAACAAACATTTCATTTACATTTAGTTTTATTATTTGAATAAATATAAAATAATTATCGTGTTCTTGCAAAAATAATTGAGGCACCCATCAATTTGATTTTTCAATGTCTTTTTTTATCCTCTTTTCTTTGCATTAGATTGTGGAAAGTTATGGTTCGTCTACAATTCATCAAATTCTAGGATCTGTAGTAGCTACAGATATGGATTTGGGCAGAAATGGATCAATAACATATCGACTTAGCTCCGAACAAGATAATAATAACAATAACAACCATAACAATTTAGCAGGCAATAAAATCCATGGTCCAGCATATGCATTCAACTCTCGTCTAATTCAGGTAATCCCATTTATAAAAGACTTTCATTATATTGTTTGATCGTTTATTTATACGCAGATATGGACGAAGTTGGCGTTAGCCACTACTATGACCTATAAAGTAAACCAGATATGTGTTTGTTCATTGTGTGATTTATCTAGAAAAGAACTAATTTAACTTTATAAACTACTGAATTACCTCAAATTTATTCGAATATGACTTCCTGATTCTGAGAAAACCAGGATGCATTATTAGTCACACAGAACTTGGATTTTAATGCTTAGATAACGGGAGAAGTCGATTTCAAAATATTAACGATTATGTCTTACATCTTTTTAGCTTAATGAAGGTTTAAAAATTATTTATTTTCATTCTATTCTTTGTAGATCAGTCATGATGGGAAGCTTACTGTTTATGGAGTGATTGATCGTGAAAAGACCCCTGTAATTATACTGACAGTTATTGCTGAAGATAATGGCATTCCTATGAAACTGTCCAACTCTGTGACTGTTACAGTTCATGTCTTAGATCTAAATGATAATAAACCACGTTTCATTGAATCCTCAGCACTACGTTCTCAGTTAACAAACAAAGCTGATGGAGGAAAAAATGTTCCAGATAATCCAAATGTGAATTTCATATCACCTGTAACAGGTTTCAAATTGAACTTGAGTTTAGATACGAATGTTGGTACACTGCTAACTGTGGTAAGTTTTGATGAATTAGGATATTAGTAAAAATTAATTTGTAAATTTTTCACATTCCACAGATTCCCATTGGATGATGAGGCTTCAACCTTGGAGTCTTAAAGTTTCCGTGTCGCTAGTGCTGTTTACTATGGTGTGGGCTTGTTCGCCTCGCGATCAACCTTTCCTGTTTTCCTGGCTTGCTACCGACATGGTGAGGCTTAAGAGTGAAACGCCCGGAAGTTGAGCCTCTGACCACATGTGTGGTTGGAAAGCATTCTAAATTTGTAAATTACTTTCTCTGTATTAACTGAAAGCGTAACACTTCTTCAGCAAACTAAATATAAATAGAACGCATGTCTCATAGTGATAGTTTAACAGTGACTAAACGCAGATATCATGATAAATGCTTGAAATACAGAGTTAAACAATATATTTCTTTAAGTTCACAGTGAATATATTTCCATAAAACTAAAAATGTTACAAGGTAATGTCATTATATCCACTGACTTTGTGCTGATCAAAAAACGACTTGTATCACAATTTGGCTTAAGCTAACGAAAATGAAAGCATGATGAATATGCGATTTGTTAGGAAATGCTCAGGGAAGATTGTATTTCTAAACGTTTTATACCATTATCAACTATCATTTCTGAGTGTTGTGATTAGTGGTATATTTATTCATCTGTTACTAGTACCACAGTAACTATCTGACACCTAACATTTTCTTCAGTATTATTACATGACGAATACTTTTTGATAAATTGACTTTTGCTTTTGGATAAACCATTTTCTTCCTGTCGCAATTTGCGACTCATTTTTCAAAAAAGACTTGCGTCACAATTTGTGCCATATCCAGCTTGAATCCGGACTGCATAACAAGCCAATTAGTGTGACCAGATTGACGAACTAGGCAGTTATATTTTTGAAGAGTCATCATATTCACAGTAGATTAAGAGGAATGTGGTGAAAAGTTACAAAACGAGACTATAAAAGTATCCAGAAATTTCATAACAGAGTATGGAATGTGACTGCGATGGAACGGCTCATGCAGAAGATTTTAGAGAAGGGAAGGCAGACATACATTCAACCAACGAAAGGATTGTAGAAAACCTGGACCTGGCGAATGATTTATGTCTAATGTCACACAGAATCAAAGGTCTATAAGGAAAAATCAACAGTTTAGCAGAAGAGGCTAGGGAAGAAAACAAAACTTTAAGAAAACACGAAAAAAGGGTGATGAAGACAGCCAACCGAAAACATCAAGCACTCATCACTATCAACGGGAAAAATTTGAATAAGGTCATCACTTCCAGTCATTTGGGCAGCATACATCCAACTAGAGGCGCTAAAGATAAAAGTGTGAAAGCTAATTAGGATCAGAAAAACAAGACATGACTTCATGATTCTGAAACTAGTTTGAGAATCTGCTACAGTTACCATAAACAACAAGATGAAGGATTTTCAACGCTTATATTAGGTCACTTCTTTTGTATAGTACAGGTACTTGACGAATCACCATTAGCATTTCCAGCATTTTTCAGACTTTCTCTCAGAGGTATCTTCGCGCCATAGTGAATACCAAATAGCCAGCCAGAAAGAATTAGCAACAAGAAGCTCTGGGAACGAACTAATCAGGGACCTGTTGCCCAACAAATGTATCGTAAGTCATAGATTGGACACATACTTGGGAAACCGTTTAGTGATTCCATGTGCCAGACTCTCAAATGGAACCTGAATAGGAAGCGACATAACAGGCGCCTAGGAGGGACGTAGAGATCGTTTGAAAATGAAACAAAACCTTTTAGGCGATCGTAAAGCCATCTAAAAGAGACTGCAAGGAATACAGTGAAATGTTGACGTGCTGCTGAGGCCCTATCTTCCACTCTGAACCAATGGGAATAATGATAATAATAACATTTCGCTCAACTTGACATGAATAATTGTCGATACCTTATCATAAACGCTTAGTTATCGAACACTATCTATCCAACACACTCTCTTAATTAGAATAATATCTGCATAATCGAAAATAATTCATCTAGAATTCGTACTGAAGGGAAAATTATCTCACCAAAGCACTGATATAAGTCCTTATCAAACAGTCAGTTTGCTTGATATTTTCTGTAGATTTATTATGTTTTAAAATAAGATGAACACTGACTACTTTTTGTAGTCATAAAGTTCCACTGATTTTGGCTGTGGTTTGTCTAGTTATAGTAGAAGTACAGGTCAGAAACCTGAACTGAACGTCACCAAAAGCATTTCCAACAGGTTACAGACATTGGTCAACATCTGTTCCCTCCATACTGAAGATCAAATAGCCTGCCGGCGAGAAGGAACCAGCAACAAGAAACTATGGGAACAAACCAACAAATAACCCATCGCCTAACAAATATGTACAAGAAGATGGAGATGTTTGAGGCATACTTTAAGGAGGGAGGCCGTCAAATGACATAGCGCGCAATGCATGCCATAGCTTTAGTGGAATCCAAATGCGAAGCGACAGTTGGGTCGTTTGAGGTGGCATGGAGGAATTCATGAGAGGAGGAGATAAGAGATTATGAGCAATCGTGGACTCAGATGAAGACGGTGGCAGAAAATAGAAGAAAGTGTTGGTGTGTTGCTGAAGCCCTACCTTCCACTCGGAACCTAAGGGGATAATAATATATAATACCGGTATTTGAAATATTAGCCATAGTAATGGTCTCAGAATTTAATAACACATCTACAACGGACAGAAATCAACAAATACTCTGGAATTTCCTTGAAAATGAAAAAAAGCTTCGAGATGAAACATAGAAAGTGTTTATTTAAATAAATTACAAATCAGTAAAATGAACTGTAGTGCTTAAGTTTCCTTAAGAAAGGGCTAGTCTATATAAAATTAATGAATCAGTTTACTTGTTAGAAAATATAGTGAGTCATTTACTCCTTTCAATCCTTTAACTTTCGCAATCCTATTATCTTCTAATCAAATATAACTGACTGATCGACAGTTGAAAATTTGCATACAGTTTATTTTTTCTATAACACTCAGAGAGTATATTTGTCTAGGTGATAGATAGTATAACCCATCGGTGAGTAGTACACACTTTTATAATAATCACGGCGACAAGATACTGACGAAAAACGAACGTATTTAGCGTTTTAGATAACAATGGAAGATAAGGCTGATTCCCTTCTGATATGATGTAGGTGTATACAAAAACGTTTATAGACAGCGCTGAACATAAGATAAAATCAGGTGAATATTATTAGGAGACTAGTGAGAGACAGAAAACAAACTGGGTGCACATTGTGCGAAAACGTAAACAAACAAATGTTGTACTGCAGAGGTCAAAAGGTACCATACTGACTATTCTTTTGATAATAAGCTGGATTTAAAGCAAAAGACTAGTGAAATTGTCTGACTGATCATTAACGAAATTGTTTTGTTTTGTACTGGTTACTGATTATGATTGTCTGTGCGATTGTCTTTTCGCACGATATATATGTACGCGTCTTTGTACTACTTATCAACTAGGCATGAATACAACAACAAAAAAAGCAACACTATATTCTGCTATTTCTGATAAAGGATTAGAACAATAATCCTTATAAATTATTCAGCTTTTAACAGCTAACAGCACTAACTAAGCTTCATAATACTAGACACCTATCTCGCGTGATATCTCTCTCCGATATTAGATATATATTTTAAAAAGCATCATTTCAATTATTCTTGTTCTCATTTGAAAATGAAAACCAAAAAAAAGAAAGACGGAGTGAAACACAACATAAATGTGAAATAAATCCAAAGGGAATAGTTTAATTAAATGGATTAGTTAGTACAATATATTAGATTCAAAGTACTCATGAATAAATAAAACGTTATATACACATATATATATCACTCCTATACCTGTCTTTAAATATTATCTCTGTCGTCTTTGAGCATACAATTATCCCTTGATAACTAATGTCATCAGCAGTCAATGTCAATAGTAAGGGGGGTAAGAATACCAATTATTCTTCAACCTGCTTAATCAGCTGCAAAGGAACAATATGCTAGAACAATTAATATTTACAAGCCGTTGTATAGTGGAATAGAAACGCGGATACTTAATATTTAGATAGACAGTACATGAATTAGTGTTCTAACTCCCCCATCCCCACCGTTGGCTTAAGGAGGCTTAAGAAGTTTGGGTCTCTTATTATGCATAATAAAGTTGTAAAATTGTTTCGGTAGAATGATTTCAAAATGTAGGAATATATATATGTATAATTTCTTGTATAGACCCAGTCTCTGGTTAGTATCAGATTAATCATCAAGTGTTAGTTTGCCAAGAGTTGATTGGTTACCGGTGCGATCACGAGCTGACACCAGTTAGAGAATCACTGAAAGTTCCTGGGTTTCAACCTTGGTAGGTGAGTACTGCTGAAGAGTCTCAAGCTAGAGGGTGGTAAAACTGTCCAGTACTCTCTGGTTCTTCAAATGGTTCTCTGACTGATGTCAGCTCATAATCAAACCTATAACCAGTCGAATCCTTGCAAACAGTCATTGGTAATACTGCATATATCTAATTTGTCAGCATAAAATGAAGGGCTTTTAATTTAATACAAATAAGACATTTAATGGAATAGCTATGCATCCACTGAAAAATTTAATCACAAAGCAAGCTGTAAAGTCTGTATTATGGAGAAAAGTTCATAAGAGATAGTCTTTTCTCAAAAGTGTTTGTTATCTAAAAATAGATTAAAAACGTCGAGCATATTGGAGCACATATTAGGAAGAGATACATGACAGTTTATCAGGTAAGACTCCTGATTAAACAGGCTTAAAGTAAGTATCTCAATAGGCTTACTAATAAAAACCAATATTTATTGAAATGTTCATCTTTACAGATGTAGGTCTTCGGCGTCTAAAACTGTTGGACACTCTTCTAGCTGAAAGCAGATAGAATAAGTAAAAAAAACTGAAAATGTTTCATAGTCTACAAAAAATTGTCTCCAAAATATGCCTTACATTGACTTAGAAACCAATAATTAAATAACTTAGGGCCCTTTTTCCTGTACGAATTTTCAGTACAGATTTTTCTGTCACCAGGTTGTTATTGTGGGACATATGGTTATCTCCTTTTAAAAGTAATTTTGAACTATCAAATAAATGTGATCACTCTTAATGATTCATACTCTATAGCCTCTAAAATTTAAATTGTTAGGTTACATAATTGAAATCCAAAATACCTTGATAAAACTAAATCAGTTTTAAGTAAAGGTTTCATCCCTACACAAATAGCTACCTGAATCTTGGTGAAAAAAGCAAATGTTTCAGACAAGCTTGTGTTTTCCAAGCAGATCCTGGTAAGCGAGAACGAAAGGAGGAGTTGAAAACAAGAACAATATGAGATTATGATCCAGGGTGCTTACATTCAACCAAATGTGACAGAATCGTCGTTTCTTGTTTACTCCAATAATCTGTACATATAAACTTATCAATATTAGGTGACTTTATCTGATATATTACACGGTAATACAGTACCAATAACTGGATGACATCTTGAGCATAATTTATTGCAGTATAGCATAACTGACAGAAAAATGATTAAAAAAATAAAACGATAACATAATGGTGGATTAGATACCATCGTTTCAACTACAGGCGGAACTGACGAGGATATAAAAGCAAGAATCGGAAAAGCAAGACAAGCTTTCACTACTCTCAAGTCTGTGTGGAGGTTAACAGCACTCTGCATCACAAATAAGATCCGGATTTTCAACTCCAATGTGAAGTCAGTACTACTTACTATACGGATCAGAGACTTGGCGCATCATAAAGAGCATCTCAAACAAACTATAGACCTACATCAACAGCTAGCTGTCTTCGCTCAATACTCAAGATCAGATGGCCGGTCAGGAAAGATCAGCGACAGAGATCTCTGGGAGCGAACCAACCAGGAACCGATCGTCAAACAAATAGGCAGAAAGAAATGGAGATGGATTGGCCATACTCTAAGGAAACCATCAAGTGACATCACTAGACAAGCCATCGCTCGAGTGGAACCCAAAAGGGAAGCGACGAGTTGGTCGTCAGTGCAAGGGTGACTTGGAGGAGGCCATGTGAAGAGGAGATGAAAGCGTGTGGACAGACTTGGAGCCAGGTGAAGACTCTAGCAGAGAACCGAACGCAATGGAGACGCACGGCTGAAGCCCTTTATTCCTCTGGGAATTAAATGAAACAATAATAATAATCTATGGTAAACCAATATATTCTAATAAGCACTTGCGTTTGATTTATCCCACCCAAAATCGAGAAAGGTAGGTTTAGTTATACCTTTAAATAATGGACAAAGGAGTCTAACTGGTAAGTTAGAACATTTAAATGGTAAAATCAACAGAATAAGGAAACTATTATTAGTGAATAACTGCCCATTTGTGGCGGACTGGTTTGTGCAGCATATCGTGTGTGAGGAGCTAAAAGACAGGAATTCGCTGGATGATTTATGTTTAATGTCACACAATTTCGAAGGCTTACAGGTTAGCAATAAATACAGGACCTCCAGTTAGCATAGACAAGACCTTGTCCTGTGGACTTCTGCCTTTTTCTTTCACACAGATTAAGTATTAATACATTTTCACCTGTGGACATTTATCCTCAATTGTTATTAGTTTAATACTTACGTGGTAGAATTCAGTATTCATTCTCCAATGTCATTTGTTTCTCGCTTACCAGGCATACATACTTTTTTGAATAACTATTATACCTAGCGAATTACGAGTACATTTCTATAAACAATGACTAATTTTTTTAATATACAGTGAATCTGCAAGTAAAAATAAAGATTATTTTTCACAGTTTTGTATAATTTATTTCAATTTTCTAAAATCGTTAAGATATTACTGATGAGTATTTTCTTTTTACTGACTTTTTTACAGTTTGAGGCATATGATCCTGACAATGGTCCTAATGGAACAGTTGTTTTTGATATGGCTTACTCAGGGACACTTGGTTTCTCCAGTGAAATAAAAAGTCATAAAAGCGGAGGAAGTGATGAAGAAACTGCTAGTGTTCCTACATTCACTCTACAACCAGATGGACGTCTTCTATTATCCAAACGATTAATTTATTCAGATATGATATCCCCTGCACCAAACAATCTTCCAAAACGCTATCGTCGACCAGATAGACTATTGATACGTGTATCAGATAAAGGACCAACTCCAGAACAGTCGATAACTAGTTTACAAATATTTTATTATGATCCAATTGAAACATTACAGAATACGTACTCTGAAAATTATTTACCTACAACAAATCGAAAAAATGATATTAAAAATGATCATGAATATTCGACAACTAATCAAAATACAGAAAATGGAAAAAATAAATATTTTGCTTATAAATCAAATGTTCAAACATTGTTAGGTGGACGTGAAGGTGGAAAGTTATCGTCAAAATCATTTATCAGATCATCAGAATTAACACATTCCAAACCGTTCACTTTACCGGCTATGTATTTATTAGCCTTAGCTGTTTGTTTAGCCCTGTTACTGGTGATAATTAGTTTTGCCTGTTTCTATGTTAAAGTAAGAAGGACAAATATTGGAGAGAATGGACAAGAAAAATACGGTAAGACGTTTATTTCTAAATAATTAACTTATTTTATTCCTTAGTGTTCTGAGTGGAGCATAGGGCTTCAAGTTTACACCTTGAAATCTCATTAGTAGTGTTGTTTACTTTTTCGGGGTGAGGTTCCTAGCCTTTCGCCCAACTTTCCCTCTTTAACGGGCTAGGCAAGGTTAAGCAGTGTATCGGCAGGAGATCAGAACCTCGGGCCGTGTGCGTGGTCGGCGAATATTCTACCGCCAAACCATCAACGCGAATAACTGCCCAGATATATTTTATCGTTAACACGATTGGTAAACGGAGTTTATCTAAAACTTTTAGATATTACACGAAGAAGAAAAGATAATCCCATGTTCATTAAAATCATCCAACCTACAACCGATTAAGCAATCTTACTCAATATATTTACTAACACTGCAAACAATTTAAAAAAATGTTGACCGGCTATAATAGAACATTAAAATTTATTATCTATGTAATTTTTAATAGCAGCTTGTTTTAAGCAAATATCTGCAAAACATATAAAGGTATACATTTTCCTAAGTTAACCAATAAGTTAATTAGAGTTTCCGGACGATTTGAAACCACTGCTACTCGTGTAAAACATAAGCGTCACACTAATTATTTTTATAATGGCTGATTCTTTATTTTAACTATAACAATAATTATTTCTCGAGAGCTATTGTAACACAGTTTCCCCGGAAGACTGTCGATAATTCATTCAAACATTTAGTTACGTTCTTTCAAACAGTATAACAGGCTCATAATTGCTTACTGTTTGTAATACCTTTGTATACAGAAGTTTCCAGATTTATCAAGAATTTTTTTGATTCTTTTCTGTTTTGTTTCGAAGTTATTTACGCCTTTAACTTTTTTCAGTTAGGAAGTTTATGGTTCCTCATTTATGTAATAGGGAGACTAAGCAATCACTTTCAAAATGTATCCAATAAAATGTCCTCAGAAAAACTATCCAGTAGCAACGATTATCTGGATAGGACTACGATAGATAAAAACGAAAAGACGATTTGGTTTTCCAAAAATAATAGTAAGAGAAATAAAGAGAAGAGAAATTTAAACATGACTGGAAGGACACGAAGTTTCTCTGAAAATGAGCCTTTTATTATCAAATCAATTGACAGTAAACGAGATTTGGTTGGTGACCGGTGATTCCGTTGATTTTATGCTTACCGTTCTCACTATCCTACAATTTCATGAATTACATCATAAGCTGTACAGCCGTCAGTGTTTGGTTCTAGTTTCACTTGGCGCATGAGCATCCTTTGTATTTAAAGACAACAAAGTTTCAATTTCATATACTGACCACTGATACAATTGCCAAAGAAACACTTGTTAGTGTTTGTATGCATAAACTGCTCACATAATCATAGTAAATTGATAATATCTCCTTTTAAGCCATTTCGCACAATGAACTATCCTTTTACGTTCGTTTTTCTTATTCTCTTACAGATAGTGTAGTGAAAACTGACGTTCATGGAGACACCCTGACTAACAACAAGAAAGTAAGAAAGTTTATTTGCTTTGAATTGGATCGTTTTCATTGGAACCTCACTGTTATATGTTTGTTAATATGCATGTACCAATGTTCATGATAATAGATATGTGCGCTTTTATCTTATTATAAGAAGAAGAGCACTAAAGTGTTGTAGAAAACTTACTCAATATTTTGTGCATTTCAGTATGAAACATACCGATGGTTGGGCAATATTCACTGACCTAAATAACATCCAACTTCTCACATCAGTTCGTTTTCGGGTTCTTTTCTTTGTGGGCTTCCTTAAGAAACTTAATTGAAATTTCAACTAAAACTGTGTGATTTATAAATAATCAGTTTCACTTCACCAATCCGTAGAAAATAGATGCTTATATGATATTCTCAGGCTATTGTCACTTAACAGTGAAAAAACATAACAGCAGTTTAACTCAGTAATGAAAGCTTTATGCGAAAAATAGGTAGTTCAAACAGTAATTAGTAAGTGTATCAAATTCTATGTGATTTGCTGTGTATACTAGTGTTCACTGCCTTTGTGCTTCATCTTTATCAGCTTGTGTAAAATGTAAGTTCTGAAATTACCTCAAGATTGGTCAACTTCCTTATGCAAAGACAAAGAAGATATTCATGAATCTTACTTCACCCTATAAAAGTTGTATTTCTGTGTGTTGAAATTTCTCTAGCGGTTCAAAAGATTTATTGGTGTGGGGCTGCTAGCCCCACGCCCAACCCTTACTCTTTATCTGGGCCTGGGACCGGCCAAAATACTTGTGACCTAGTTAACTAGGTGAGGTTGTAAAAGTTGTAGACTTCGGTATTAATTTCATGTTACGGGATATCACCTTGTGATTTTGTTTCCCTACTTAGTTTCCACTTATCATATCATATGTTGGTTGTGACCCAAATGGTCTACTGGATAACGCTTAGGCGTTTGAAACTATGGGCACTTGGTTCAAGCCTTTGTGGGGTGTGTGCAGGTGATGAAAAGTCCCAAATGGGACGAAATGTACATCCTAAATTCCCATGCTAGTCACCATCCACCATTTGATTTCAAGTTACATGACCAGACATTGTCGAAGCATCTGCACAAGGAGCCGACTTGTCGACCTGAGTTAGAGCACCTCGGTCCAATCAAATGACGAGAAAATCCAAGTCACGTTTAGTTCTGCAAAGAAAACTATGATAGGTTTTTACCTCGAACTGTGTTATCTATGAAAGATGAATTATTTTTAAGCGTAGCTGCTCCACCATTTTGGATGTAGAATCATGAAATATTTACTACATTACTATCAAAGTTTCAACCTCTGTGATGAAGTCAGAATAGCAAAACTATTATTGATAAGAGTATATTAAAACATCTCACACTTCTGGATATGTTCCATTATAATATCGAGTAGTGTATGGAATCTACGAAAGTAAAGTTAGTCTCTATCGCAACACTGGTGAGGTTGAAACACTAAGAAATGTCTTCCATATCCATCGTTTATATCTTCTTAAATCTAAAAATAATTTCAAAATAAGTCATACTTTGTTTCAGTATGTGGAAATTAATTTACAATGAGATCATTTCTCTGCAAACTATTTAGGCAATAAACACTTGATTTCTGTTATGAAAATGAAATAAATTTGTCTTTATACCCTACATCTATCTACATATGTGCTTTTTTTAAAGTCAATTTCGTAACATTCCTTCAACTTACTTATAAGAAAATTCTTAATTTGAAGCAACCTGACTTTTTTGTTGTTTAATTTTACTTCACAAAGGGGAAATATAACATAGTTTTACCTATTCTTCACCGGGAATTATGGTGACCATGTTTTACAGGCTTTATTTTCAAATATATGCCAGAGCTGTAACAAACTGTTAACACAAATATTTGTTCAGAGCATTCATAACTGAAAGTAATAAAAAGAAACAAAATATGAATTTGAACTACTTTTAACCTAAATTTTATTACTGAGAGAAAATTAATAATTTTTAGTGTCCATTATAAAACTTTTGAAATGAAATAGCAGACTTTATCATACGATAACATAACTTAGATGAAATAGTTCCTTGGCAGTTCATCGATAGACTACTCACCAACCACGCACGTGTTCTCGGGTCTGACTCCTGGCGACGCACTTCTAGAAACCTATCTTAGTAATCCTGGTAAAGAGGGAGGAGGGTTGGGCGTGAAGCTACTGCTATTGAAACTGTAAGTCTCAGGCTTGAAGCCTTATGCTTCACTCGGAACACAAAGGAAATTAAAACGAAACAGTTGAAGTCAATCGATGAGCTCTTCAGTTTTCAGCATTAAAAATCCTTTTCTGTTTAAGCTAGTAGGTCAGAACCATAATAAAAGTATTCAAGAGATAGTGATTTACAGGACACATATGGTTAACTTTACGACTATTGTAGAAATTATATGGATTGGTACACAAAGCACTGTTTTAATTGTCTTTTTTGGTGAAACAAAAATTTTGTATGCCCGATATAGGATGCAAGGTGTGTGCTACATACATTTGACCTTTGAACTTTTATTCTTTTAACTTTTACAGAATGTTGATGGTGATATTCGCTTGGATAATACACTGACATGTCATTCGAAAAAGGAGTTGGATGAATCACAAACACTTTCTGGCTCAGGGAATAAAATGATTTCTGATTGTGGTATGAACAGTCTTAATTACAGAAGTCTGTCACCAACATATATTGTACGTGGATGTGATCATGTTAATTTTCTCCCATCTAACGATGCATACGTGGACACAGTTATGTCTAGTAAGTACAAGTGTTCTATGTATACATATATCATTTTTAACAAACTGATAAATATTTTTAAAGTTCATGATGGAAAACGGCAGAGTATGAGAAGTAATGAATTTTATCCATATTAGGTGTTCACAATATATTAGGAAGCAAATTAAGAAACACTTCGAGTAACTTAATCTTAGGTTCAATTAATCCGTATACCATTTCTACTGTTCCTGTGGTTCAAGTTATATGTGGCATACGACTAAGCAGGTTCATTTTATTTATTTAGAACATAAACTTGATACATCATGAGCACCAGAGTAATAAACCAACATTATATGTAGAAAACAGAGAAAGAATAAATGAGGAGATCATCCAGAAAGCAACTAAGCATACTTTTCAAGATCACCCAGTATTCATCACTTCATGTTACTTCCGGAAAGGAGGGGAGGAGGGAAACTGCAGCAAGATCACCATTCTTGACCATATCTGATAACGTCTAGAACTACCAATTCAAACTTTCTCTTAGACTACAATCAGGGAGTAGTGATTTATCAGCTAATGCTGATATAATACAAATATCCTTCAGTCCACTTTGCCATGCCATGGGCTTAACATTTCTCGGCTCTTCCTAACTTTTTTCAAGGGCTAGCGAACAGCGACCGTTACGAGAGCCTCTGGAGTGACATGTGGATCATATTATCGAGCCACTTAAGCCACCAGTATTTTTAGATGACTATACTCAATTATTTGTCACCTCCATCTTGTCTAAAAACACACTGCCGAACCTCAGAATTACTTACACGGTGATGACATCGAATGTAAACAATTCTAGAGAAGCAAATGTGATCGAATATGCATGGTGGCTGCACACTGATAGTTCGAAGAGGCCAAGAAGGTCTAGAAGACATCAGATATATCCATAATTAAATAGATTCGTTCGGTGTGCTCTTTCTTTATCATGAAAATATTGGCTTTTTTCCATAACGTTGACTTTGAAACGGGTCACAATAATAACTTTATTCTGAGAAATGTTTCAATACATACTGTGGAATTCTCAGCATGTGCTCTTGCAAAGTAATAATACTAAGTGAAAAATCTCAAATATTTCATATGAAGCCGCATTTTTCTATCTCAGACACGCTCCAATAACCTGCTATGCTTTTTCTAACATTTTCTTCGAAAATCCCATAGCAGTGGGTTGAATCGTATTTGAAAAATTGGGATGAGTACAAATTGCGATCCAAAGTTATGATCTGATAATTAAAACATCATGAAATAGAGTTAAGAAGATACATTTTGATGGATGGAAGATTAGTTAACCCAGCGATTTAAGCAGTCCTCCAAAATATCTGTTAGTATTCTCCTAGTTGTGATTTTTCTGTGAGCACTAACTTCTCTCATATTTAACATTTCACAAACACCTTAAGAATTATTAAATAACTGAAAATGTAATTTGAAATAAGATTGGTATGTGTGGGATGGAACAGAAACTAAGTACTTCTCTATATTATTCAGACCCAGTTAAATCCGACGTTTGACTAAGCTGTTGTGTAGAGTTACGGCACCCAGAAAACACCTCATCCAGTCACTGTTGGTGTCAGCACTTTGTCAGAGAAACTTTTAACTAAGTTTACAGTAACTATACCTGAATATATATTTTAACTGAATTAGATATTTTATACACAAAAGATTCATTCTGTTTATTTTAGTGCCTCATTGGACAATGAATAGTTCGCATTATACTCCATTATCAATTAGTCAAATAAATTCTGCCACAAATTCGTATTTACCATCGACAATTTCACATAATGACTCCAGGAAACAATTTGTTAACGGCAATCAGAACCAATTAGAAAATCCTACATCATTTAAAACTCCCGACTCTTTATATGAAGATCAATCGTCTCCAGTATTATTCAATAAATTAGAGTTCTGTAAATCATTGAATCGTCAAACACAGTACAGTTTACTTATGGATAATCAAGCGGATGTTTCAAATATTATCGCAAGAAGTGAAAACAATGACAAAAGTAGTAACTCTACTGGTAAAACATTCCAAACAGACGATATGACTACAAATTCCACAAATTTTGTCCCTAACTCTCAAAACACCAAGTCAGTTGTAATGCCACCTAAGCGTAATTTCAGTGATAAGACTATCCTGAATACATCAACTCAAAAATACAATGAATTAAAGTCAGCCAGTGAAACACCTACGACCACCTCAGCATCAGTCTCGAATAGCAGTGATGCGATGCAAAAATCTAAATGCAAGTTATTTACATCTAAAAAGAATGAAATATCTAAAAATCAAAATCAGACGAGTGACAATGATACATTTCGTCGTCCCCCTATGTCTACTGACTTGAATCAAATAAGCATCATTGCACAAAGCAAATCAAGTGATCTACCTCAACTAACATCTTCATTTGTTTAACTGAAAAGCAATTACGCACTGAATGATGCCTAGTTATAGGTTTCTACTTGCATAATACCTTGAATTATGATGAACTGTTTTTACTTCTGACTTATTTAAGTCATACGTAAAGAGATTAACTCTAATTGCTTCAAAGACTGATCAAGTGGTCAACCATTACCACACAGCTGTGTCATTTTACAAAAGCTGAGTTTTGTACATAGTTGGAAATGTATATATCATGTTACATTTTGTTAAATATGAATGTCAAAAAAAAACACTTTTTTTCTTTGCACAATAATTTATTTAACCGCGTTGATTCCCTGTTTAGTATATCAGTCTTAAATAGTAGTAAAAGATTGCATAATAATTATACTTGTGCGTTGTTCTGCTTTCTGGAACTCATCACTTTCCAGTTTCTCAAAAAAGACTCGCAGTATAAACTGAGGTATTCAACAATAAATTTCATGTCTTGTCCTTGAGTACCGTCTAAGGTTTTGAAGAAGTAAACACCAGTGTGTGCGTCGGTGGCGCAGCGGTAGGATACTCTCCAACTACGCATGTGGTCAGGGGTTCGATCCCCCGCCGACGCACTCCTTTACCTCGCTAAGTCAGTAATAAGACTGGCAAAGAGGGAAGGTTGGGCGTTAGGCTAGCAACCCCATCCTGTAAAAATAGCCACGATTGCTACAGAAACTTCAAGCCTCTAGCTTGAAGCCCTATGTTCCACTGGCAACGTAAAGGAATAAAAAACACCACTGTGATGCACAAAAACAATTCACTTGAAATCCACCCGAAATAGTTAAGCAATGACTTCTATGGTATCAGTTGAAGATGCATGCTGAAATTTTGAAGTATATTTCCTCGAAATAAAAGATATACTACTTGTAGTCTTAAGCATGTATGAATTTTGTATTCAAGACATTCTAGTATGTACAGTTAAACGCTGAACATGAAACTATTTTTTTGATTAATATTAGAAAATACTTGTTTAATTCGATTTGCACATTCCCGTTGATTGATTGGACCGAAGTGCTCAACCTGAGGTTGAAATGAATTAAGTAATTACTGATACGCCCCTTGCTCAAGAAAGAGGTGAACTTCGTGGCCCAAGTGGTCCAGTGGATAACACTCTGACGTTTGAAACGATGGGTACTGGGTTCGAGCTTCGGTTGGAACACCGTTACTCACTAACTGGGGGATGCAGGTATATCCAGTTGCTGACGAGTCTCAAATAGGACGAAATGCGCATCCTGGATTCCACTGTTAGTCACCATCCACCAGTTTACCTCAAATATTAAAATATACAGTCTACCATTACGAAGACTTGTTACAGCCTTGTTAGTAAACTCATTTAAATTCCTCGTACTTGAAGAACTTTTCTTTTTTCATTATACCACTTGTCATGAAAACAACGAAACATGCCAAAATGCATAGAAGGTTGTGAAAAGCTGCTAAGTTTAAGAGATGTTAAGATAAAATGATTATTTATATTAAATACCTACTAGTAGATAGACTTTTCATAGATATCAAATATTTATAAATTGAGATTGCACAAATACAATAATTTAAAAGAAACTAGTAAAGAAGAATTCCCCAGATAACTTTGAAAATTATAGAGATAATTAAGCGGTAACATGTGCAAGTAGTTCAATGAAACGAAGATACAGCTGGAAAAGTAAACAATTCAGTATAAAATAACGATTACATGAATGGTTTACTTAAGATATATCTACATATACTACTAAATAATGTAAGTAGCTGTAAATATCAACTAAAAAAATACTAACAGCCTATTCGTTGAGAACGTACACAAATGCTACTGCTTAGAGTATGCCGTAAAATCAAGATCCTTCCAGCCAGTAAGCGATATAATTCTATAAAATTATGTCGAAAGATAGAAAAATTATTAAGATACAAACTAATTTGTAGGAAGTAAGTAATAAATTCAACTGAGAGTTTCGATATAAAGTTTAAAACTGACCTTAGACAGAGTGTTGAATACATACCAGGTATCTAAAATGCGATCAGTGGAAACTGAAGTGAGGCTGTAAATTTTTTCTCCATGTTCACTGAAGTTTAAAAATACAAAATCTTAACGTCTTATTACAAGCGGCTGTTTCCCTCAAAGTATTTAGGTACCTCCTAAGAAAACTAAAAATCAAAACAAAGGTATTTCATACGGACAGTATGTCGAACAACTTCTGACAGAAAGATGTGACTGGCGATTTGGTCCATCTAGAGTAGACAAAGCAAGTCATTAAAACTTGTTTTATGGAGCAGCAAAGTCCGATGTGAGTACCATTTACCATGAAATTAGGGAAGATTTCAGATTTCTGTTTTGAGATATCATTCAAACATTTCATTTATCCTGTAATATTAAGGATTCACTCACTGAAACTTAAAACAACACATTTAGGCGAACAATATTATTTTCAAGTGTTGGTTTGCAGGGATTTGATTGGTTTCAAGATATTATCATGAACTGACATAGGTTAGAAGACCATTCGAATACCTGAAGTATTGCCATACAGCTGTTTCGTCCTAGTTTGGGAATCTTTAGCAGCACGCAGTCGCTGAGGTTCAAACTTATGACTTTCTGGTTACGTGGTCAGCACGTAAACCATTAAGCCACTGGGACCCAAGCCATTGATCAGCCCGTGAATACAAACTTCTACCAATTCATGATATGGCGCGACTGGCACTAGCCAATGTCATCGGCGAGTACTCCTTCTCACACTCGACCTGGTGTACCCCACTGGTCAGCACTTCTCACTAGAATCCACATAACTACCTACCTGAATAGGGCCAGTCACTAGTGGGCATCAGAATAATATTCAGGTGCTGGTTTGTAGGGATCTGATTGGTTTCAGCATTTCATCATGAACTGACATCGGTTAGAAGACCGTTGGAAAACGTGGAAGTACTGGACAGCTGTTTCGGCCCACTAATTTGGGACTCCTCTGCGGTACGCACCACTGAGTTTCGAATATTATTTTCAATTCAATCTTATCAGGATTTACTCTAATATATGTAAATTTAAAAATACATATTGAATATAAGGAAGTCACGATTATTTGTTTTTATGGTGGTAAAATTTAGCCCACAAATTGTGCAATAGTTCATGATAATACGAATAATAACAACAATCTCATTGTGAGTCGGTAGCACGACGGTAGGATGTTCACCGAGCACGCCTCATGTGATTCGGGGTTCAAACCCCGGCCGACACACTCTTCACCTCGCTAAGCCACTAATAAGACTGGCAAAGAGGGAAGGCTGGCAACCCAATTCCGTAAAAATAATTACCACTGCTACCGAAAGTTCAAGCCTCTATCTTGAAGCTCTATGTTCCACTGGGAACTGGAAGGAATAAAAAAATTCCATTAATAGTAGTCGTGAAAACAGAGTGAATTGTCATAGCAAGAGAGATTATACAAGGAAATATTCAAATAAACGTATTAGACAATTGTTTAAGAAACAGAAAAGATTATTGATTACCAGACTGTAAATGATGTGAATATGCAGAAAGACTAAAGAACGATCTACAACAAAACGATACGAATGGTCTTAAAATTTTAAGGCGTTGTAGAGGTAGTGACATAATCAGTCATTTAGGTCTCCACTGGCAAAAGGTGAGATAATGGCTGTAGGAACTTCTAAGTTGATAACGACTTCTGACATACTGTCATCGTCTCCGGCTTTCTGTCTGATTTATTCATATGGTTCTTTACAAAACTACTAAGATATCCCATCCCTGCAGGCAGAGCAGGGAAGTTATATTGCAAAAATCATTTACAAAGGGAATTTGATTACTTTCATGATTCATGTAGATGAGGCGTATCAGTTTGAAAAACCCAGATGATGATAGTACGTTTTATTATTATCACCGTAATTTCCCTGAGTTCAGAGTGGAAAATAGGCTTCCAGCAGGAAAACTACATTAAGCTTTTTTCTGTACTATCACTTTGAGCTGCCTCCTCAGCTCCCTTCTTCATATGATCCGCTTCATATCTTTGTCGTACACCCAACCCATATTTTCCCATTAGAGGGCCTGTTTTCTGATGCTAACTGAAACAAATATTTGTAACTAGTTGTTGGTGATACTTCTACTGACGCGCCAAGTCTCTTAAACATAGAGAAGCACGTGCCTGACAATAGTGTTAAATATCTCTATGTTGTGCCTTTTACCAATTGATGTAGGTCCCCAAGCTTAATTTACAGTAATAAAAGCCTGTCTTGCGTTCCCAAACCATCACTCCTGTAGTTGAAACGACGCTTTTCAAGCAGTTCAGTGAGACGAATTCTTTTAAATATCTCCTACTGATAGTCATTGGTGCTTGTTGTTTTTTGGCGGATGGGTACCTTCATCATATCCATTTTTATATGTACACCTCAAGTCCTAACTTCGCTGCTTCTTTGGTCAACTTGATTGTTTTCGTTTCTGAATCACCAATTTTGTGTGACTTGAGATTCAGATCATCATTAGAATCCAGATCTTCTACGGTGCTACTTTCGATCCAACATAGACTTGTCTTCCTACTATTCATGGCCTGTCACATGATCGAGTACACCACAAACCATAATATCATTGGTGTTAGTGGGCAACTTTGTATGACTCCTGTTTTCACTTCAAGGACTTTGTTGAGCTTTCTGTTTTGGATCACTTGACTTGTGGCATCATCATGTAGCTCATGAATGAGGTCTATAAAGGCTTAGGTCAATCCTTACTGTTGAATGAGCTGCCGAATTACTTCTCGTTGACATTGTCCAAGGCCCTTCTAAAGTAATGTAGCTGACTTAGAGAATCAGCTGCCATTCCATGCTCTTTTTGATTACAACGTATAGCATTTCTAATTGATTTGCACATGATTTGTTTTTCTTGAATAAAGCTTGTCTCATGGAAACTTCATTCCAGGGAGACTATTAGTTTCTCAGTATGATGAGCATTACATTTAACTTGTGGAGGACGGGAGCACAATTCAGTGCCAATTCGTGCAAAAGCCTAAGTCGCTCCTCTCTGGCAGCATAGCAAGGTAGCCTTTCTTCTAGTCATCTAGTGCCTTTCATCGCTTCAAAACCTTATGCAGTAGCGGTAATAACACATCCACTGAGGTTTCTTGGTCTGTCTGAGTGCTATCAGAAGAATTCCTAACGGTTCTGCAGCTTTCACAGCTGGTTTCCATCAATTTCATAGCATGCAAGACTTCTGCATAAATACATATATGTTATGTATTTAATTTTTGTGAAGAGTGATCAAATTTTGTAGACGCTGTGATATCGTGTTAAGGTAAATGGAACTTGTATTGGTTATGAAAATTTGTTAAAAAGTAACTACTTT